AAGTTTCAGGATTCCAACTCTATCGGTTCACCCTCAATTCAAATTGTACCAAATTTAGTACATAGTTGTACCAATTTCCAAAACATCCTAAATATCCCAATCCTACACCCCCACAGTGATCATAAATCCAAGTTTCAGGATTTCAACTCTATCGGTTCACCTACAGTTCAAATTGTACGATATTAAGTACACAGTAGTACGAATTTCGAAAACTTCTTACTTACCCAAACATAGATGCTAAATCCAAGTTTCAGGATTACAACTCTTTCTGTTCACTCACAATTCAAATTGTACCAAATTTAGTACACGGTAGTACGAATTTCCAAAACGTCCCACTGAACCCAAACTTTCACCCCCAGAGTGATCCTAAATCCAAGATTTAGGATTCCAACTCTATCGGTTGACCCACAATGCAAATTGTACCAAATTTAGTACATATTAGTAAAAATTTTTAAAACTTCCTACATATCTCGATCTTACACCCCAACAGTGATCCTGACTACAAATTTCATGATTCTAGCTCTATTGGTTTGCATAAAATTCAAATTGTACCAAATTTAGTACCATTTAGTACCCATGAATAAAAATTACTGAAACTGGGTAAAAAATCCAAAACTACGTACATTCCCAATCCTACACTCCGACGGTAATGTTAATTTCAAATTTCAGGATTCCAGCTCGATTTTTATCTCCAAATTAAATTTGTACCAAATATAGTATCATATAGTACTTTTCGTACACATGAGTACACGCTTCCAAAACCATCTCCTTAAATGGACTCTACATCTCATCCCTAATTCGCATTCCAAATTTCAAGTTTTTAGCTTTATCAATTCACATGGTACGAAATTGTACAAAATTAAGTACATTTTAGTACTTTTCGGATATTTATAGTTCGAATTTCCAAAAACCCGTTGATACATATATCCTACACTCAGCGACCACCAATCCAAATTTCAGAGTTCTAGCTCTACCGGTTCGTCAAATACAAATGGTATCACATTTAGTACTTTTTAGTACTTTTCGTACCGTTCTAGTACGAATTTCCAAAAACGCTTTTGTACATCTTCCTAACTTTACATCAGTGACTTAAGAATTCTAGCTCTTCCCGTTCGCCTAATACAAAGGGTACCATTTTTGGTACATTTTAGTACTTTTCGTACCCTTCTAGTTCGAATTTCCAAAAACCCAGCCTTATCTCACGCCTACACACCAACACCAACCCACACTCAAAATTTCAAGCTTCTAGCTTTAGCCGTTTCGTCTGGGCGATGATCTGTCAGTCACTCACTCAATCACTTAACACTAAGCTCTTTTATATATAGATAATTCAAGGGCTCTGTTAGTAGGTAGAGAAGATATACATAAAGTTTGTAGTGGTGTTTTTCAATGTTTTTATTCATATAAAATAATAAAACTAAATTTTGAAGTACAATTACATTAAAACTACACATACATTAGAACTTTTTACCGGGTTAACCTACTTTTTGAGGATTTAGTTGACATATATGCAAAGGAACCGACAATTGAAACCCACTGGGTTAACGAAATCCGGTTAAATGTAAATGTACTATAACTTGTATTTTAAACTTTGTTGTAAAAATAAAGTTTTCCACCTATATAAAAGTCTCCTTTTCATATTTTTTTGTTTTCTCTTTTGAAATTTTCGCTTGCTTTTCAACTAGCGAATTTTTCTTTGCTAAATTTGCGAAATAGAATACAAAAGAAAGAAACGTCAAAATTTTTACATTTGAAAGAATTTTGAAATATTTTGTTTATTTTTTATATATTTTATTATATAAATTGCAAAAATTAAAAATTAAATTTCACTTTCAAACATTAAAGCAACAGGTTTGTAAACAAAAGCCGGCTGTGTTTCAGTAAAACGAATAGGTTTAAGAACGAAATGTCAACAAAATTGTTCTCATCGAACAGAGCAAAGCAGAATTTACGTGTACCGCAAATTCTGAACAGGCAAAGTTTTGTTTTTCCTCCTCGTACCCCTCTCGCCAACAAACTCAGAATTTGCGAAATAAAAATTAGCCTGTGGAAAAGGGGACTAACCAAATATGATAAATTATGCCAAGATCGCCGAAGAGGTTGTAAAAATAATTATAATTAATTTAAAGAAAATATATAAGTAAATTAAATACATATATATAGTATAAAAATCAACTTCCTTGAAGAATCTATTCTATTAAATAAAAAGAATATACTTTATAAAATCAACTCTGAAAAATATTGTTTTTACCTCTGCCTAACCATTAGAGATATTTTTATAATATTTTAAAAAGTCTACGGCTATAATTGTTCAACGAAAAAATATTTTTTTTAAAAAATACATTTCTGTTTTAGGTCTTAAAAAAATAAAATTCCACCCTTATTTGTGGTTATTGAACAAAAATTTAGAAAGCCCACCCCTATTTATGGTCCTTAAAAAAAGTCCAATTCTTTTTGTCCTTGGTCCTTGAAAAAATATTTTTAAAAATCCACTCACATTTGTATTCTCTGATATTTTTAAATAAGGTGTATACAATCTAAATATTCCTTCAGGCTTAATTTTTTCTTCAAGTGCCGATTTCTTCAAGTAAGATTTTCGAGAAAAATTCGAGCAGTCACAGTTTCTTTACCATCAGTCGGCAAAAATGTTCCCCATCAAAATATTAGTTTTAGACCTCATATCACTTTGGACCAAATCCATTTCAGACAATTTGGAATAGATTTACAGATTTCCTCCCGTCACGATAGTTTTCGAAGTGAGTAACCGATTTCATCGAAATTTTACTGAAGGAATTGACCGATATTCCCCATCTTTGAAGATGAACTGAGGTTTGAAAATATTAAGATTTCCAAAGTTTGTGCGCGCCAGCCGGCCAGACAGACGACTCAAAATTGTCTGAAACGGACTTGGTTCAAAGAAACATGGGGTCTAAAGCCAATATTTCTATGAAGCCCATGTTTGCCATATCAAAGTGTTTGTATCCTCATTAGCCATAAGGCTGAGCCATAAGGCGTAGAACTGTCATTGTTCGCAGCATTATTCAGAATTTTGTCTTTTAATCCATTCACTTTTTGCTCGTATTTTGGTATTGGGACAATTATACTTTGAAGATTGGCTGCATTACATTGAATTTGAATAAAATTAAATAGATCAATCGGCAGTGAAGGAGATCGACCGAAACGACACGAGAGTTACTCGGCCAACGTCTGTCACCTCAGCCCGTTGTGTAAAAGCATCAAGGCTGCTACAAAAATGTAAATATATTATTCTATTCTCGTGCTAATAAATAAGGAAAACTTCTCACATTTATAAAGCTTTTGAAGATTTTTACCCGTACATTACTGTTTAAATCCAATGGATTTAAATTGTCAATTTGATTACATGTATGTCAAATAAATCCCCATAGAGGAGTTTACACCGACAAAAAGTTATATAATAAAAGTGGCATGTAGTTTTAAATTTTATTGCATTAAGAAAATGTTGTCCAAATTAACCAAATGTCGTTTCCTTCCAATGCACAGAAATTCTTTCCCCAAGATTTTTTATTAAAACTAAGTTGTAAAATATTTTTAAATCCGTCTTTTTTATTTTCAAACAATACAATACAAATTTAAGGCATTTTTTGACAGAAAATGGCATTTAAAAGCAAAAGCATGTATTGAAATGTAGCTTGTTATTGTATCATGGTTTAAATGACTTGGAGGCAGAGTTGTATTTCCACACAATTTCGTGTGAACATTCCTATGTCAAATATCTGCTAGTCAACGCCGCCTGTAATAGCACTCCGGCGTTACGATACAAATTTCTAGCGCCTTTACAACTGCTGAGCAACTATTAAATTTCATTTCATAATAGTGCGATTTGTTGAATTAGTTGATGATTTTTTCGACTAATGCAATTTAATTTGTAAGATTACAGCTGATCGTTTTACGTCAGCAAACTTCTGCGTTGTCAACATGCATATAACAACGCCGTCACACATTAACATTAAAGGTTCTGTGACTGCAGCTGCTGTGAGTGTGTGTTGTAAACAATGCGGCTCTCTTTAGTCTCCATCCCACCTCATTCGTAATCTTTCGCGTTATACCGTTTTGAGTTTATCTTCATCGGTCATTTTGTCTTCTCCTTCCATTCGTTAGCAGGTGGAACGTTTTTCAATTTTTCTTCTTTCAGATAAAAAAGAAATATTTTCAAATTCCCTAGTTCATAACAGTGCGATAAGTCGATGAGAACGGACGGAATTTTTGTTTGGTTTTTGTTTTAAATTCTTGTAGAAGAGCAAACGCTGTCTGAATACATAAACCGAATGAAAGCCGGTCAATAGAGTTTTTTTGTTTTACCAAAAAAATTAAAGAAGACGAAAAAAGAAAATCGAATTGTAGGTGTTGACAGTTTTATGTGCTGTGAGAAAAGCGGAAAGAATAACCATAATTCAGTGTTTTAGTTCCCATTTTTCGTTTTTATTTGTTCGACGATTTATGTTTAGTGTTAACAAATAATAATCATAACAAAGTACAAGGAAGCCAAGCTAACAAATTCAAAAAAAGAAAATTCAACTTATTTGTCGATAAGACGAGACGGAAAAGAAATTGTGTGGAGTGTGTGTCATCACGGTGCGGTTTGCATTGCATTTTTTGTGTTAATAAAAAAATAAATTTAGTTGTTGGCTGTTTCGCTTCTTTTTGTGTTTGGAGTTCTGTCGGCAAAGTTAAGCAAACAGCGAGTGAGTGCTGTAGTTGGTGTGGCCCCATATATATATATTTTGCCTTTCATTTATTCGGTGTATTTGTGTTGTGTGGAGCATTTCAAAACGAATTAAGCAAAATTTACAACAAGAACAAAGACGCTTTTCAAAAAAGCACAGAAGAATTACATTGGCTGTGCATTGCATTATTTACCGTTTGTTTTAACAGTGAACATTACATTTTTCCAAATAGAAGAAGCAATTTGTATTTGACGTCTTTGCTACAGAAAGCAACATCAACAAAAGAGGAAAACCATCCAACATCCAATAACGAAGAAAAAATACTTGGAACTTCCACAAAATGTCAGAAACAAAAAGTGTAAGTATTTATGGGCATTTCATTATTGTTTACTTTTTCCAATTTGTGTTTCAACATCTGTTTTAAATTTCCTTGCCAAAATGTTTTATTATCAAGGGCGCGGTTGTTTGACTTCTGGCTCACTGTTGCATCGTCGTTGTGATATTTCGGGTGTGTTTGTGTGCGCGAATGGCTGGATGGTTGGCTGTGTGTTGTGATTTGTAAGGGTATCAGTGTGTTTTTTGCTGGTAAAGTGAAACTCCTGTTTCATTTTGTTGCTTTTGCTTATTCTTGAAATTTGTTGTTGTTGTTTTTCTGGTTTGACTCATATTTCTTTTTGGTGAATTTTAGTTTGTACATATATGTATATGCATACATATCCAGCCAGCCATCTACATATGTTATGTATGTTCTCTTGCTCTCCTTGGATACAACTCTGTGTTGTTAATTATCTCGCTCTCTCATATCTGTGTACAAGGATCATATTGGCAAAGCATAAAAAAGTCGGCGGCGGCTAAAAGTCGACTGCAGCCGAAAGAAAATCGGCGGCGGCGGCTAAAGCAATATACGGCCGGCGGCGGCTAAAAGTCGGCTACAGACGACGACTTTAACGTGAACAAATAATTTCGGTTGTTTTAATAACTGTCAATTCATTTAATTTAAAATAAAAATGAAAATATAAGTTTATATGCACATTTGTTGCTTATAGCACATTAAAAATTAATAAAAATACTTTAATTTGATAAAAATGGTTCGACGACTGCCTTGTTATCGTGAACAAACAATTGTTTCTTTACTGTTGCCGGATGCAGGCTGCTTCTCTTTGCATTTACACAATTCCCGGCATATGAAAATGCTTGCTCTGAAGATGCTGATGTGGCTGGAATTCCAAAGCACATATTTGCTACAGCAGCAACATTTGGAAAGATCTATAAAAAGTAAATGGTCAAAACGTAACCTGCTTAAAATAAGTTTAAGATGTGAATCTTTAACGTACTTGTTTGTTCTGTCGCCACCAATCTAGAGGCTCAACCGCCTCGACTTTCATTTCCAAATATTTTCTTATTTCTAACTCTACGTTATTTTGTACATTAGAAGGCGATGGTCCCATAAATTCCAACATTCTTTGACGACTAGCTGATATTTTCTGCAAGTAAAATATACGTTAGTTAAGTTTACCTTTACATTTATTAAAACATAATACCTGTTTTTTTGCATTTGGTTCAGTGCTCGTTGATGGCTCATTTAATAATGTGTCATCGATTTCCTTTAATTTTTCAATTTCTTCCATAATCAAGTTCTCCTTGGAAATTGGAGACAGAACATCATGCACAAGTTCCAAGGAGTTTGGCGATTGTTTGCGTATCTGTAGTATATATTTATCTAAAACAGGCCAGTTTTTTTGGCATGGGTCCATAAGCGCAGCTACAACATACATTCTATATACTTTGAATCGCTTCGTAAAGTTTTGCACAGCGAAATTGCATAAATTGATTGTTAGTTCAAAAGACGCTTTTTCTTCTTCTTTCTTCAATGAGGACATAATGGATTCCTGAAAATAAATACACGAAGATATCGTCGGATAATCTTGGCCTTGAAGGTGTTTTGTGGCGTCCTCAAAAATTTTTAAAAACGTGCCAAATTCCGTTATAATTTGCATTTCCATTGTCCCAATCACTAACAGTTCCTTTTTAGCTTTAACTAATGCTATATTTATAGTGGATATATTATTCGTATAGCTTTGAATCATTGCAAGCAGAGAGTTCCAACGTGTTGCAACGGAATTTTTCAAAGAGGTGTGGTGCTTGACGTTTAAAGTTGCTTCATATTGTTCAGTAAAATAGTCATCTCCATGTGGAAATTGTTCGCAACTATCCAAACTCTCCAAAATTATTTCAACCTCTGTAAATATTTTTACTAAATCGTTTTGTTCCTCCATATTTTGAATATTTGATATTTCTTCATAGCTATACATTAAGCTGCCATAAATTTTTTTTAATTTTGATATTATGTTATTAATATTTTCAAATGACTTGTTGTTTAGTATATCTTCCATCAAAAATCTGTGTAAAACATGAGCCATACAACCATATCTTGGTATATTTTTAATTTTTAAAGCTGAAACGATGTTGCTTCCACCATCAGTAACAGCACATATGTTTTTTTCCAACAGATTAAATTCACATAAAGCTTCTTCAATTTTTTCTACAACTGCTAGTCCAGTGTGAGGTCGTGGAAAGATCTCTGTCTTGAGCGTTACAATTTGCATTTGAAAATTTTGGCAGAAATGCACTTTTATGTTTATGTAAGACAAGTGCTTATGTTTATCTGACCACATATCCAATACAAGTGTAACATTTTCGGGCGACTCTTTAAGGCTTGTTTTTACGTGGTCCAAATATATGTTATAAACATCGTTTAAAGCCGTTGTAGCTATTGTCCTATCTGTGGGGAACATAGCCTTTGGGTTTAAGAAAGATACCAATTTCTTAAATCCTGGCCTTTCAACAATTTTAAACGGTTGCAAATCCCAACAGCACATTTCGGCGACCCGGCGAGCATTTTGTTGTTTGTTGTTACAACTTGTTGAGGATTTCAATGCATTTTGTGTCATTGTTGAACTTTTCAGGTTATTTAAAGATTTCACGTCCAAGTTATGTACAGCTCGTAGATGGTTCATATAATTTGTGGTTGATGTTGATTTTCCAAAACTAAAATCATAAACAATTACACACATGCGAATGGAAAAAATTAGAAATTCTTACCTTTTTAAATTAGTCTTTTCATCCAAACACAATTTGCAAAATTTATATTTTTGAAGTATATGCCTCTTTTTAAAATAGAGATCACCAAAATATTTCCAACACAATGATATACCACCTTAATTTACAACAACCTTTGCCAAATTTTTAAATTCATTTTTCTTTTTAAAAAGATCTTCATATTGAGATACATCTGCATATTGAGAAATATTGATTTCAGTATCAACAGATTCGTCAGAATCGGATTCTGATTTAGTCAAAACTGTTTGACCCTTTCGGTTAGCGGAAAAATAATTTTTAATATTCCTTTGGCACATTTTGCATTCTTTTCTTTGAACAAGCAAAAACACAACGAATCTTTGGCAAACAATATGGTTGCCACTCCATCAAAATTCGTAAGTTACAAAAGGTTGCCAAAGGTTTTGTGATAAAAAAAAACAAATCTACAAAGACATAATACCCTTACCACTATGTGCTGTAGGGTATAATTAATATAAATAGCCTACACGTTTTTGCCTCTCGAAGACGAGTGCACAATGTAAATTATCGTCCAATAATGAGCATTATAATATGTTAATTTATCGATAAGATTAAAAGACATATTTATACAAATTTGCTGTATAAATTTATATTTTTCAACGGCTTAGCCGACTCAGTCGGCTAAAAATTTGAGCCGATGAGAGCCGCATACATCAGCGGCGGCTCAGATCACTTAAAAAAAGTCGGCGGCGGCTGCACGCCGACTGCGAGCCGATCGGCTTCGTGCTCTGTTGGCAAATCAAGACATTGGCTGACAGTTCATGCACTTCCGTACATTGTTTTGTTGTTGTTGGGAAAGAAGGGGGGCGTACAGTGGGTATTATTATTGTTGTGTAGTGCACTTTGCTGCAATGTTAAGTAGGTCAAGGAGAGGGTGTCTATTTCTTTTTTTGATGTCACTGAAGAAGAAGAAAAAAATGAAAGAAAACAGGAAATGAAAATGTCAGTTAATTTTTTTATTTCTGCAAAGTATATTTGTGTGTTTTTTGTTTTCGTACTGACAACAATAACATTGAACAGTTGTTAGTAGTGCCGTGTAATCCCTATTAAGATACGAATGGTTGATTGCAGTAAAATAAATGTAAATAAATGAAACCACTAATAAAAGAAATGTGCTGACAAACAATTGTATTATTTAATACCTATAATAGATAAAAAATCATGTCATTAACCACAATATAAAAATTGAAGCAGGCCAATTTTAACTCAAGGCAGCTTAACGCTAGTTTAGATAAAAGCGAAACGATTTGACTTAGAATTTTCGGGGACGAAAAAATGTTCCCAGAATTTTTCAATGATTCTAAAGCCTAGAAAGAATAACTCCACGACCCGTTGGGCGTAGAAACCTTAACTGAAGTGGTAAACATTTGCAAGGACCACTTATGTTAGCAAATTTTCAAATGGAATCAGTATAATTCTGTAGCGATTTGGGTTTTGAAGGGCTTTTGATAGTTGAGAACATGTAATAAATTATTGTTTTTGACCATCTGCATGGACAAGTTATCAGTACGACTGCTATTGTTCTTCCTCCTAAATGGGTGAACCAAACTGGGTTTGCGGTTTCATACTTCTCCACTATATTTGATATTGAACTTCTGGAGACATTATATTCTCAGGACATCTCTCTTAGTCGTAATCCAATCGTATAATCGCCAACAATGAGTTTTTCTAATTGCCCAAAATGCGTTTTATTAACCCCAACCCGAATTTATCGTTTGTCACTTATAATTGACTGTTTGTGATTACAATTATTATTATTTATTATAGTCAGGCTGAATTCCAGTTTGTTGTTTTTATAAAAAACAACTATTTATTAGTGGGGAATGTATGGCATTGTTTGCCGAGGGGTAAGGCAGGGAAGACTATAGCTCCGTATCACGCCACTGATCCTTATCAGTTCCCTTAGTTTTTGTGTTGGGATATTCTCCCCAGAAGCTATTGCTTCTATACAAAAAAAAACCTTTCATACCCAAATGTCTCTTGTAACAAAGCGAAGTACTTAGCTGACCAACGAAATGAACTGCATGAGAATTTCGCTGGTGCCTCACTTCGAGGTTAACAAGGCATTTACAATCAATACCATACCTTTCCCACTGTTGTGTGTTGTCACATCGCGACAATTGCACACAACGACTTTGTTGGTGTTGTTAGTATACAGCAACAAATCAAACAGTTTAACCGTGTTGGCGGAATCCGTATTTAATTTACTCAATCTGCCTGCTGGGAAAGTTTGAGAAAGTGATTTTTATTTTGAGAATTCGAAAATATTACATTTTCAAAATAAATATAATTTGTTGATAATTTGTTTACATTTTTCTGTCCAATGACGTTGTTGACACTAGTATAACTTACAACAAAAAATGTCCATGTAGTTTTTTTCCATAAGAGATTACAGATTATGCACCATCATATTCCTCAGACCGAAAACCATGACTACGAACTGTCTGTAGAAGTGTGAATTTGTAGATTTTCACTTTAATCGCAGTAATGAGATTTATTTTTTTCTCGTTACGAAAGTCTTATCTGAGCCTTTTTCCATGATTTTTGTTTTACTTAAACTAGGGGTGCTGGGAATTACTCAAAAAAATCAAATTCAAATAATTAATATTATATTTAGAACGCCTGAAAAATACCAATAATAGTCCTCAAAATCTTCTTTTTCTTCTTGTGCTAGAAATTGCCACCTGTATTATTCTTCGTCAAAGAAATAACTTCCTGTAAAAGACCTTAAAATAATTAGTTCATAATCTACCCAGACTTCCTCGCTAATTATGAAAAACAAAAACAATATTTAACGCCTATTAAGTCTTTTGTTGCGTTGTGCTATTATGCCGTGTTAATCAGCATTAAGAGCCCTCAAGATAAAACGCGGCAGCATTGTTGTCATTCCAGCAAAAAAAAAAATGTTATTAAAAATTTATAATACTCCTTCTCATTTTTTTGGGAGTTTAATAGACTTTTCTTTGCTTCTTTTTGATATACACGTATTAAACAACAAGGAACTCATTTTCGAATTTAAATTATGAAGTTCGCCCCCCTTCTCCATTTATAGCTTGTGTTGTTGATGCATCATGACACTTGCTCTCTCTTTTTTTAATTTATAATTCACTGTACTGTGTTTACAATTTACATCACTCTCAGCAAACAATAGCCCCTCAAACTTACTCTCATCACTTGGCTCTTTCCATTGTTTTTTTTTATTTACACAATTTTTGTGCATCAATTGCTTTGTTGTTACACATTTATGGAGGGCGGTTGGTCGTTCGGTCGTTGTAGCCTATAATATTACTCCTGATTGTTGTCTATCTGTCTGTATGCCTTGCAGACTAACTGCCTTGCCTGCCTGATTGTGTTCGGTAAAAATTCTACATCCTACATCAGTAGAAGTTATTGTTGTTGTTTTGTGTTATTTATATTTTGTGAACGTTTGATTGTGTGTGGTGTATTAAACCCTTAAGTCATAACGGTTTTATTACATGGTTCATCCACATAAGCGTGTCCCTCCTATTCTCCCACTCTCTCTCCCCCTCTCATCTACTCTGGTATGTATGGGGGAAACAACAGTTCAAAACATTGTTTGTAATTTGAATAAAGAGTTCAATTGACTTCTGAGAGGGAGTAATGGTTGCGTTGTTTTACATTTGGAGAGGCAGTATATTTTGGTCGATGCTGTTTATATTGCCGCCACCGTTGTCTTAAGTCTGAAATGTTTTTTTTTTTTATTTTGTTGAAATTTCCTTTGTGTGTTGTTGGGATTTTTCTGAACTTTATCACAATATTCATATGGAGGAGTATGGGAAGAATGTGGTTGGGTTTGGGGGGTCATGCACAGTGCAGTACGAAAAATGAAAACAAACGCACAAAAATGTGTATTACGTACATATGTATGTATATGCATACGTACTGCATGTGAAGTAAAATTGACTTTGTTTACATTATAACTGGGAAACATGTGGATGTGTGGTTGGTGGTGGTGTGTTGATAACAGCTCCCAACCTCCTGCTCCTCCTCCCCCTTTCATACATTGATGTATGTTTGGATAGCAGCGCGTCAAATAAATTTGAAAAATCTAAACAAAAGAATGCATGAATCACTTGAAATTTAAAAATTTTATGCTGCTTACTTACTCTTTGAGTGTGATAAGTATACTTGAAGGCACTTTTTAAATATAAATAGTACATTCCAATTTAGATATGCAGCTATTCAAATTTCACTGCCATAAATGAATCGGTACCAAGCTAATTATCATCAGTAGATTTTTATCTCCTAATATTTTTAGTAAACATGTGGTATTTATAACTCAACGGCTTAAATTGCATTCTGACCAAAAGTATTATCCCAACGGCTACACCGATAAGAAATTATCACAGTGTAACGGAGGTCCATTGACTTCCAAGATCAAGTCACCTTTTGTTGAATTGTCTGGACAAGGGTATAACATTCTCCATAAAGTTGAAAATTTCATTACTATTTATTATTCCTTTGTACAGTGTGAGGGATACCAGGGCATGAATAAACAATGCAGTTAGATAACAATCCTTTTGTTATTGATTTTAGACCCTATGTTTCTTTGGCCCAAATCTGTTTCAGACAATTTGGAGTCGATTTATAAATGTCCGTTCGTCTGTGTGTCTGTCTGGCTGGTACGCATGATAACTTTCGAAGAGAGTACCCGATTTCGTCCAAAATATGCACATCGTAATATTTCGTCCAAACTTATATCAAATTCGAAGATGGGGAATGCCCCTGAGAAATGTTCCTTCTCGGACCACAGAGAAAGATATATAGGTACTTGGGTACACCATATACATTAAATCGGACGGAACTATATATGGGATTTCAATGAATCTTTACACACAGTAGGTTATACGAACTTCAGTACGTTGTCCAAAATTTTGGTCAATCAGCCATATTTTGGAGCTTTGGTGCACCATTTACT